TCAGTCCAGAAACCAAGAATAGATGATTATCAGCCAGTACAGGACCTGCAGGCAGTAAACCAGGCCACCATCACCTTACACCCAGTGGTCCCAAACCCCTACACTCTACTGGGTCTTATCCCCACCAGGACTGCCTTCTTTACATGTTTGGACCTCAAGGATGCATTCTTTTGTATCTGCTTGGCCCCTCAGAGTCAACCAATTTTCACTTTTCAATGGAGAATCCTGAAAAACGGCGACAAAGTCCAGTTAACTTGGACTAGATTACCTCAAGGGTTCAAAAATTCCCACCATTTTCAGCACGGTATTAGTCTGATTTAAAAGCCTTCTTAGCAGACCAACATGGCTGCACGCTATTCCAGTATGTGGACAACCTACTCTTGGCCGGGTGGATGCTGGAGAACTGTATGGAAGAGACACGGCAGTTCCTCACCCTCCTATGGAAGGCTGGCTACAAGGTTTCAAGGGAAAAGGCCCAAATCTGTCAAGAAAAGGTCAAATATCTCAGTTTCCACCTATCCCAAGGTCAGCATCAATTCGGCCTGGAAAGAAAACAAGCCGTCTGTTCAATTATGTTGCTGTCAGCCTGATGCCAGGTTCAAGAGTTTCTCAGAGTTGCAGGTTTCTATAGAATCTGGATACCTAACTTCTCTATCTTGGCAAAACCCCTTTATGAGGTCACAAAATGGGGAGAACGAGAACCTTTGCTATGGGAGTGAATACAATAAAAGGCCTTTGAAGAGATTAAGCGAGCCCTATTAGCACACCCAGCCTGGGATTCCCAGACATGTCTAAACCCTTTTTCCTGTAAGTGCATGAACGTACTGTTGTTGCGTTGGGAGTCCTGACCCAAATGTGTCTGGTTCCCCTGATTATAAGGTCTGTCTCCAGCCTCACTGAGGCCTTGGTGGAAAGGAAAACGGCAGCACATGTAATGAATTATGAAAGTACAAATTCCTAAGCCAAGATGATGCTATTTGACCCTAAAGGGTCCAAGTATCAAAGAGGGAAATGTGGTAAGGGACTTCCCAGAACCAACAGGAAGTAATTTGGCATAATCAATGTCTAAGTGTGCACACATAACCCAGTTACAACCCTGTGCCATAAAATACCCAGTCAAAATGCATGTTGCCAAATAAGGGAAATAAAGGGGCTAAAATGTAAAAGAAGTTAATGAAAAGTATGTAAGGCAATGCCCTGCTGTGTCGGGGCTCAGCCTTTGGATGTGAATCTGCTGAGCCAGTGCTGGCACGAATAAATGCTGTTTCCTGGCAAAGAAGCCTCAGTGTTCTATCTCTCTGAAAAGGATTCTACCACAAGGCCAGTAAAAATAAGTAGAGGTCTCTACTGCACTTAGGAAAATGTCTCCTTTCTAATAGCAAGAGATACATACATAGAGAAGGACTGTCAAGTGGCTGCACACTTTCTGGTCTAAGATGCCTGGAACTTTGGCAGCATGGGGAACAATCTGAAGATGGTAGACCAGAAAGATCAAAGGACATGGGTGTTTAATGAGGTGTTTAATCAGCTGACAATCAGCCCTGGAGAGCAACTGCTGCCACCTTCTAGCTGAGTGAGACCTTATAAACCCTGACAACCCAAACCCACAGGCCCATATAACACACATATGAGATATATGGAACCTCGATAAATTTCATCATTTTCTATCCACCCAAAGGCCCATCATCCATTCTCTATTGCATCAGGTATGAACATGAGCTCTATATGTAGAAATACCCACCACATAGCCTGTGGCAAGGTTTATTCCCATTTCTCATCGACTGGTACAGACATTCACCCAGATATACAGTGTGTTTGTTTCAAATAGGAAAAGCTCTAATATCTGAAGAAGTTGCAAATCCTTTACCTCTCCCCTCCCTCTTTCTCATCTACTCTCCATTTCTTTATCCACTATAAATATCCAACAGACTGTTCCTTCAATTGTATTGTCATAAGACAGAAAGATGCCTATCAGCTCAAAAAGAAGAGTGGGTCCCTAGTTGGGCATGGTGGCTAACGCCTATAATCCCAGCACTTTGGGAGGCAGAGGCAAGAGGATTGCCTGAATTCAGGAGTTCGAGACCAGCCTGGGCATCTTGAAGCTACTTACTAGGAGTGCATACAAGACAAGGGGATTCTTTTTTTTTTTTTGAGTTAGAGTCTCACTCTGTCGCCCAGACTGGAGTGCAGTGGCGCTCCCGGCCACCGCAGTCTCGACCTGCTGGGCTCTGGTGATCCTTCCGCCTCAGCCTTTCAAGTAGCCGGAACTACAGGCATGCTCTACCACGCCCGGCTGATTTTTGTATTTATTGTAGAGATGAGGTCTCACTGCCCAGGCGAGTCTCGAACCCGCGGGCTCAGGCAATCCACTCACCTCAGCCTCCCAAAGGCGCGGGATTACAGGCTGAGCCACCGAGTCCGGTTGACAAGGGGATTCTTAGTAATGTGCTCAGGAAAGTGCAGGAGCACTTGAATCCCCACCACGCACTTCTCTAGGGGCTGTGGCAATATGGAGGGACATTAATGCGTCCCTGTATCTGTGAGACATTATCTCCACAATGAAGAAAAGAAAAGATGACTGGGCCCCTTCTGAGACACCTGGAAGAAATGACCACTTGCAATTTTCAGATGCTTGTACCTAATATGCAATGATATGACCTTTAAAATTCCTTTTTTTTTTTGAGTTGGAGTCTCATTTCGTTGCCCAGGCTAGAGTGCAATGGCATGCTTATGGCCACCCCAGCATCAACCTGCTGGGTTCAGAAGATCCTTCTGCCTCAGCCTTCCAAGTAGCCGGGACTATAGGTGCACACTACCAGCCTGGCTAATTTTTTCATTTACTGCAGAGATGAGGTCTCACCAAGTTGCCCAGGCTGGTCTCGAACCCCTGTGCTCAGGCAATCCTCTCACCTCAGCCTCCCAAAGTGCTGGGATTACAGGCTTGAGACACCGTGCCCAGCACTGTTAGAGTACGGAGGGTGAGGGTGGATGAATGGAGAGAGACACAGCACCGCCAGAGTCAGCGTCCCCCAGGTACATGCTGGCAACCAGAGATCTGAGCAATGCAGTGATTTGCAACACACAAAGAGGTGAAAGAAGAAAAGATTTATTTAAGAAAGGTTCACTTCCCACAGACAGGAAGTGAGCCTATACTCTAGATGAGTGTGGCAACATATCCCACCCCCCCCAGCCCTAGCTTAAATCATTTCTCCTGCAAATGTTGTAATCAGGTAGATCTTTGCAGATGTCTTGGAGACCCTGAGTGGGGTCCTGGTCACCAGGCACTGAGTCACGGATCTCACCACCTCAGGAGGTTATACAATGGGCTGATACTGGCCATGCTTGAGAGATTTGGGTTTCTGTAAAGACAAAGTCGGCAAAGTTAATCTTTACCTAAAGAACGCATTCCTCCAGGACACGGTTTCTACTTCCTCATCATTGTGTTAGAGTTTAGGAACAAGACAAAAAAATAGCTTCCCACTAGGTCCGACCTTTCAGGCATGACCTTTAAAATTTCAAGCCATGGAACTTTCAAAGATTACTAGTTTGAAAAATAATTTTTTATGATCTGATGCTTGTTAGGAAAGGAACAATATATGATACACTTCTGGTTTTCTTGGTAGAAAGTCCTGTCATGTAGCCCACACACTGACAGGTGATCTTTTTCTTCCCACTAAATGAGTTAGTGGAGCTGAGAATAAATATTTTCGGGCAAGAGTTGCATAATGCTGCACTGGCTTGTAACAAAACATTTTCAAACTCCTGGGCTCAAGCCATCCTCCCACCTTGGCTAGGATTACAGGTGTGAGCCACCATGCCTGCTCAATATAAAATAAAATCTTGACATTACAGATGGTAGCCAAACTCTGGAGTGTAGGGTAGGCCAGTGTGATGCAGTCAGCATCTCAAACAGAGGCAACAGAATCGAGTTTAAGAGCGGTTGCTTTCCAGCCAGCTTCAAGATCAAGTCCTACTATTGCTGCCACATAGGAGCTACTTAAGCCACAAAATGCCTCCCCCATTCCACTCCTGGAAAAGTTCCTTAACCTCTCTGAGCCTCCAGTACCTCATCTATGAAATTATTGCTGTAGCTACCAGAAGGGGTTGGAGAATATTAAAAAGATGACGTTTGCACCATGCCAGGCACATAGAAAGGGCTCAATAGATGGTGATTGTTTACTCAATGGAAAATGTAGCATGTCAGCCCTTGCAAGCTACTGCACAGATGGGCGGGCAATTTTACATTTATAAGCGGGACAGAAGCTCAGCGAAACATATGGGCCCCCCCAGATACACACACACCCCAAGTTGCCCACCCTGCGGTCCTGAAGGTGTGGAGCTTGAGGTACTTTCACAACAGTGTTTGCGGACTCACACTCATTCCATAAAATCTGTGTTGTAAGGTGAGGTCTTTCCCAGAAACCTATTTTTTTTTTTCCTGACTTCTTGGATCAGGATGACATGACTTTGGCTTTTCTTGGAAGGCTTTGGTCATGGGGCTGGCTGGTTACGCAAAGGAGCTGTCCACACTGGGTCTCCTCTCTGCCTTTTGGACACTTGTGACATATTAGTAATTATCTCTGGTCCAGTGTCCTAGAAGCCACTCCTGATCCTTGGGCGAGTTCTTTTCCCTCTGTAAACTTCTTGGTTCTTTCTGTTTGTCCCGTTTGGAGTCCCAGAGCCTGTCGGGATATGGAAAGTAACGAAGTGGGTTCCTGGACTGTTTTCAGAATTGCAGAAAGTCAGAAGAACTGCATACATGACTTTGGCCAATGACTAAAACCGTTTTCGACTGGAATGATTCTGGTTGGACCTGGCTAGGAATCCAGCGCTAGGTGACCGTGGTCTTCTGCAGAAGGGGGGACTGCATCCTTTAATAGGACTTGGGGTGCCTTGCCTCCCCCAGCACGCCAGCGTTCCCACGGCACAGGAATGTGCAGGCCCTGCAAAGCCATCCCCGCCTGAAGCCATTCCCCAGGCGAGGCGGTGACGCAGCCCGCATGCCCGGCGGGCCGGGGATAACCCAGAACTGCGGAGCTCGCTCGTGCACTCGGCTCCAACCACGCCTGGGGCGAGGCCCCGCCCCCGCCTCCGGGCGGTCCCTGCGGGCTCGCGGCGCTAGCCCTCTCCCCCTCGGGGCGGCCTCATCCGGGCCTCAGTCCCCTCCACAGGTCCACGCCCCTCTCTCGCGTCGTCCTATCCGAGGCCACGACTGGCCCCGGGAGTCCCCGCCCTCTG